TGCTCTGAGATCAATTAGTCCCTCCAAGCATAGTCTTTACCTTCTCACCATCATCCCAGAGACCAGTTCAACTGATGACCACTTCAAGCTGTGTCACTGTTCTATTCTAGATCTAGATCTAGCAGCATTGTCCTGCTCTAGATCAGGGCTGTCCAACTCCACTCCTCCAGAGCTGCTATGCTGCAGCTTTTAGTCACATCTCTTCTCCATCAGACCTGAATGGAACGGCTGATTTCCCTCATCAGTCATTCAGCTCTGCAGAGGTCTGGTAAAAGGCTGTTTGTTTGATCCTGGTGTGTTGGAGGAGAGATGCACCTGAAAGCTGCAGAAACACTGCTGTAGAGGACTGGAGATAGAGAGCTCTGCTCTAGAGAGCTTCTAATCAGTCTCCACTACAGCCTTGTCCCTCTGCCTCTAGACTTTAAGTTGTCATCTCCACTTTTAGACCTTTAGGATCTTAGATTGACTTCCTGTGTTTCTGTCCTCAGCAGCGATGTCTCACTCCTTAGAGGTTTTGATGCGTCCCCAGCAGCGATGTCCAGCTGTTTGGTTTGCCTCCTTGTGCTTCACCTGTTTTCAACCAGGATTTATGCTTTTTGTCTTTTTGTTTATTTTTTCTATTTGCTTTCGTTCTGTGTTTGTGTGGATTGTTTGGTTTGCCTTCTGTTACCTAGGAGATGGTCCAGCTCTGTCATTAGACGTAGAGCGTGTTAGATTATTTCTGCCTTAACCAGCTCTCATGTTTTACACCTTTTATAAATTGTTAGCACATCTCCAGTCTCTACTCAGATGTCTGTGCTAAAGGAAAATTCTTAACATCTAAAATTTAAAACAAAATCTAGCAGCGGGGTAAAGAAAAGCCACGGTGCAAGACGCTACCTAAGGCATCCCTAAACCTGCCAGACTCCTTAACATCTAAAAACAAAATCTAGCAGCGGGGTAAAGAAAAGCCACAGTGCAAGACGCTACCTAAGGCATCCCTAGACCTGCCAGATATAAAACCAAGGTCAAATGGTGAAAAGAGCAACAATCTTTCAGTCTGACTTACTGATTACTCCAAAGGCAGTTAATAATTACAGCTCTTTTGAACATTTTTCCCTTAGTTCCCTCATCCAAATTGCAAAGCCAATAATCCTTTTCTTTTTGTAGCTTTTTATCATCCACCAGGTCCTTACTCTGAATTTTTAGATGAGTTTTCAGAGCTCCTATCTGATTTGGTGTTAAATACTGGCAGGGTCATCATAGTGGGGGATTTAGTGATAATGGAGCCTTGCCAGCATGTGCTATTTTCAATTGCAACTTTTTATTTGGGCAATCCATCCTTTGGTGCAACATGCTGTATATGTATTTTAATTTAATTAATTTTAATTTCATTTAACTTAATAATTTTTTGTTGCTTGATTTTAACTTAATTTAACTTAATACTTTTTTTGCCCTGTAAGCTGCTGGTAACCTTAATTTCCGGAGCGAGTCTTTCCAAGGGATCAATAAAGTTCTGTCTAAGTCTAAATAAAGTTATGATGAAGTCATCAAGGTGTTTGAGCCCCAAGGACATTTTTATTTCATGTTTTGCATGTGAGGGAATGAGCAAAATCTGTTGGGCATTCCAGAAAAAGTATATTGGCTCACACAAACTTAAATTAAAGCAGAGAACCCCCTAAAACCTTTAGGACAGCAGGCCTTGAGGACCGAGGTTGGGGATGCTTGCTCTATTCCACTCTACTCCCACAAGGTTAATGTTAAGATAATAGAGATGGGAATATGGAAAAGAGAACTGTGTGAATAAAAGCAGTAAACGAAGATTTCCAATACAGACTGAGATTTAAATGTTTTAAAACAGTACTAAAGAACTTTCAGTTTTGGTCGACTTTGGCTCCTCCTAGTGGACAAAAGCTACATTGTTTTGCCTAAAGGAAGCATCATGGTCAAGATCATAGGGTGGTAAAATCCTGATCTAGTCACCTGCAGTTGGACTGAATTACATTTGTGAGGTCATGCATCCAACTGTGGAAAAACAATGTCATATGACGATACTGAAAATAAGAAATGTTCAACTTTGGTTTTGTTCTGTATTCTTGCACTATTAGTGGCCAAATCAATGGCATCCAGATTAAGTGAAATAGCTTCTTTTAAAAAGATTCTGGTCCAAAAACAAATTCTGATTCTTAAATGATTGAAATGATTATTTTAATAGTCTTTACATCTGTGAACCAGAAAGTGAAAAGAAAGCCTTTAAAATCAAATCTGCCATGAAAGGTTTTGTCTTAGAGGAGGGAACTGAATATAAATCCATACTACAAAGTTTCCTGGGATATATTTATTTTTCTGCTACAACTAATAGTTTTTCTAATCTTCCTCATTTTCTATGGATTTATTTTTTCTCTTTAAATATTAAATTGCTTTATTAACAATATTGAAAATATTACACTAAAACAAGTAAAAAAAAAAAGCTCAAATATTTCCAGTAGTTTAAGCTTAAAGCTATAATGTGTAATTTTCAATGACATCTGATTGTCAGACTGCAGCGACCAATACTGACCTATAAAATAAAAAGAGCAACAGAATAAAATAAAATGTCAATGTTAACTCAATGGTGAGTTGCTCTGAAGAAGATACTTTGGGCACCACATGAGGCACGTATATACAGAATAAAGACAACTTCTTTCCACAAAAGGAGAATTTATTAACAAAACACTTCAAGTAATGTGAAAAAGTACCATTAACACACTTTACAAGTCTGAGGCATTAAGGTCATACTTTAGGGTGGAGGGGAGTAAAGCCTGGTGGCCCTCCACCCTTATATGCTTGGAAAACCATGGAAGCCTTTAAAAAGATGAAACTCTCCACAGCAATAATTTAACAACTAACATTTAAAAAGTGATAGCTGCAAAAGCTGCTAGTTGTAATTTGCTGCCAGCTGTGTCCCTTCACAGCAGCCACCCATCTCGCTCGCCTTTCAGGGTCTTTAGGGAAGCCATACAATGAGATGCAGTCCTTTCTTTCTTGTCAGTAGGTACACGCATATGCTGAACATGAGATTACCATGTTTAGGGGTGCACTTGGATAATAAATTGGACCGGACTAAAAACACAAATGCCCTCTACAGGCAGGGCCAGATAAATCTGTATTGTCTGAGGCGGCTGAGGTTCAACTTTTACCGGACAGTACTGTGGATGTTTAATGAGTCTGTGGTGACCAGCTATTCATTATGCTGTTGCGTNACAACTTCTTTCCACAAAAGGAGAATTTATTAACAAAACACTTCAAGTAATGTGAAAAAGTACCATTAACACACTTTACAAGTCTGAGGCATTAAGGTCATACTTTAGGGTGGAGGGGAGTAAAGCCTGGTGGCCCTCCACCCTTATATGCTTGGAAAACCATGGAAGCCTTTAAAAAGATGAAACTCTCCACAGCAATAATTTAACAACTAACATTTAAAAAGTGATAGCTGCAAAAGCTGCTAGTTGTAATTTGCTGCCAGCTGTGTCCCTTCACAGCAGCCCCCCATCTCGCTCGCCTTTCAGGGTCTTTAGGGAAGCCATACAATGAGATGCAGTCCTTTCTTTCTTGTCAGTAGGTACACGCATATGCTGAACATGAGATTACCATGTTTAGGGGTGCACTTGGATAATAAATTGGACCGGACTAAAAACACAAATGCCCTCTACAGGCAGGGCCAGATAAATCTGTATTGTCTGAGGCGGCTGAGGTTCAACTTTTACCGGACAGTACTGTGGATGTTTAATGAGTCTGTGGTGACCAGCTATTCATTATGCTGTTGCGTGCTGGAGCAGCAGACTGAAGGTGAAACACGCAGTAGACTTAAAACTCGTCTGCAAGGCCAGTCACGTTGTTGGAGAGGTGCTTGACTTTCTGACAGAAGTTCATGATGGACAAATCTGCACATCCTCTTCAGGATGCGCTGGTGACCCTAAGAAGCACCTTCAAACAGAGACTCATTTCATCATGCTGCACCACAGGAAGTCCATCCATCCATCTATTATCTGACACGCTTGTCCTGAGTGGGGTCGCGAGGGGTGCTGGTGTCATTGGGCAGTCATTGGGCGAGAGGCAGGGTACACCCTAGACAGGTCGACAGTCCATCGCAGACCACAGAAAGTAATTCTTCCATTTAAAGAATGACCATTTCATTACTTCAATATGCGCAAAAACACAGTTATGTGCAATAATTGTAATTTGGTACTGAGCAGCATTATAATTTGTAAATACTGTCAATTATAAATTATATATATATATATATATAAAAAAAAATGTATATACTGTAATCCTTATCTTAGTTTATTCTCTTATCTTATTTGTACTTACAATCTTAGTTTTCTCTGCAAATGGTTGTTCTGCAAGATATGTCCCACAAGAGATTAATAAATGAATTTGGATTCTGATTTATGTAGGTGTTTTAGAGGTAATATGAAGGAAATTCTCTATTCATTCTCTATGTACGCAAGGTTTTACTGTCCAAGTAGGCGGATTCGCTGGTGTCACAGGATTGTCTGACGTCAGCTGCACATCCTCTTAAAAGTAAATTCCTAAACTTAAAAATTCTAGGCCTCTCACCTGTGTGAATTCTCATGAGACGGATCATAGAATATCGCCTACTGAAAGATTTCTCACACATTTTGCAAGCAAATGGCTTCTCACCTGTGGGAGTTCTTACGTGAAAATGTAAACTATTACGGTCGCAGTAAGACTTTTCACACAACTCACAAGGAAACAGCTTCTTATCACTGTGAGTTATCATGTGACGAACCAAACTACTCTTCCTGGTGAAAGATTTACCACACATTTTGCAAACAAATGGCTTCTCACCAGTGTGAGTTCTGATGTGAACTTAAGATACTGTAGTCTGGAGAGTTTTTTCCCACAGGTTTCACATGAGAAAGATTTCTCAACTGTGTGAATTTTCTTGGGTCTCAATATGTTGCTCCTCTCACTAAAGCCTTCAACACAGGTTATAGATGAATATGGCTTTTCCCCTCTATGAGTTATCATATGCCCTGTCAAAGATGGTCCTTTTAGAAGTTTTTTAGCCCTCTCATTGTTATGAATTCCCATGTGACGGTTAAGAGAACTTTTTATACTGAAGGATTTTCCACATATTTTGCAAGCAAAGGATTTGTCAACTGAGTGAGTTGTCATGTGAATAACCAAAATACTTTCTCTACTGAAAGCTTTATAGCATGTTTTGCAAGCAAACGGTCTCTCTGCTGAGTGAGTTTGCATGTGAAAATTCAAACTATAACGGTCGCAATAAGACTTTTCACACAACTCGCAGGCAAACGGCTTCTAATCACTGTGAGTTCTCATGTGACGAACCAAACTATCATTTTTAGTGAAAGACTTACTACACAATGTGCAAACAAATGGCTTCTTATCAATGTGAGTTCTCATGTGATATATCAAGCTACTACGCCGAGTGAAAGACTTTGTACACATTGTGCAAACAAATGGCCTCTCACCTGTGTGAGTTCTCATGTGACAAACCAAATTAATACTTTGAGTGAAAGACTTGCTACAAATTGTGCAAACAAATGGTCTCTCTCCTCTGTGACTTCTCATGTGATAATTCAAAGTATTTTGGTCACAATAAGACTTTTCACACAGCTCGCAGGCAAACGGCTTATTTTCACTGTGAGTTCTCATGTGACGAACCAAAGTATGCCTTTGAATGAAAGACTTGCTACACATTGTGCAACCAAACGGCTTCTCTCCTGTGTGAGTTCTCAAGTGATAATTCAAAGTATTACGGTCGCAATAATACTTTTCACACAACACACATTGATACGGAGTCTCACCACTGTGACTTCTCATGTGACGAGCCAAACTACGACGTTCAGTGTACGATCTACCGCACGTTTTACAAACAAAAGACCCTGATGCAGTATTATTTCTGGGGTCCATGGTTTGTTGAATTTGAGGTAGCATATGATTCATGATCGTTTCTGGTTCACTGTAGTCATTCTGATGAACAGCAGGAGTCAGAATTAAGGGCTGGGTCTCCTGATTCCCTAAAGGTTGCACTTTGTTCTGGACGATATCGAGTTCAGCTTGTTCTTTCATTGGGAAAGGTTCTGGTTCCTCCTTTGTGTCAATCATCTGCCCTGATTCTATGTCCATCTCTTCCACTTTAATCCCTACAGGGTTTGGTTCCTCCTTTGCTTCCATCCTCCATTCCGTGTCAGCAGCAGTCCCCATAGAAGTGCTGATCTCCTGCTTCACTAAAGGCAGCCCTTCTCCCTGGAAAATCCAGAGTTCAATGCCTTTTTCATCAACTAATTGAGGCTCTGGTTCTTTCTTTACTTCAGTCGTCTCCTTTGGTTGCATTTCTTTTTGGTCCTCTTTATCTTGTTCTTCTTCTAATTGTCCAGTGTTTAATATATTCTGAATTAGACCAGAGTTTCTCCGTTTGTTGAGGAAAAGGTTATCAGGAACAACAGCAAGCGTAGTTAGAGGCATGATGTGGTTGAAGACCTGAGGAAACAAGGAAAAGGAGGTTAACAGTTTTGTAAATCTTATAGGAAAAAACTGAACATGGACATTTGAATACATCATTTAAAAGTAAGTTATAATAGTTTCTTGTTCATTACTTACAAGTTTTACTAATATATGTAAGTATCAAGTACCCTCTGGGTAACATAAAATGATACAAATTCCTCCATATGAAGCGGAGTTCTGTGAGGAAACTCCAGCATTTGGTTATGGTTGCCTCCAGGCATGAGTGAGGGCTAGAGGACAAACCAGGATGTACTAAATAAAAGATTTCTTCTGCTTCTCTCAGAGGAGTTGGAATAGCCGTCTTAAAAGGGTAAAGTCTGTGTGTCTCTCCAGAGACTGCTTCCAACTGACCCAGTCCTGGATACAGCAAAAAGCAACAAGTATTTATAAAAATACTTGTTGCAAAATTTCCACGAGTTAAAAAAATCGGAACTTTTACATATCATCGCCTTGTGAAAACCAATTAGGGACTAGATGTGGCCTATGGTGAAGGAGCGCAACAGAAACAAGATTTTTAAAATAAAAACGGATGATAGAGAAAATAATGGTGACAAAGGATGACGTCAAGAATGGTCTAAAGAGGTCTATAGGTGGCTTTAAAATAAAAGCCATTCTTATTTAGCCCTAGAAGGACCAGCCGCCACCTTCTCTGCCCCCTCTGGCGCTTTCTCTGCCTGGGAAATTTCTCAAGTGAACCACTGTCCGCCTTCGATCTCAACCTGAGTTAGCACTGGCCAGCAGCTGACTATTTGCTCTTGTCCTCTGTCTGCTTGGCAGGGTTCTCTCATCTACCACTGTCATCCTCCGACCTCCTGCTGTGGTTCCTTAGCTCCAGGTGCAGGCAACGCCAGCTGGTGGAACATCTGCCTCTCTTCTCGCACTGATGTCCCGCTGTTTCTGTCTGAGCTCTAGAATAGCATCTCAATTTATCTTTATTACAGATAGGAGAAAGCACCACTGAAACGGACCAATAACCAGACGCTGCTCTTGGAGGAGATTGTGGTTTTCCCCATAGTGGTTCTATCACTGGAGAGTTTGGTGAACCCAAAGACATCAAAGGCTTTGATTGGCTTTTCAAAGTAAAAAAAAAATGCTCTGTCACTTGCTCCATCTTCGCCATCTTGAGGTGAAACTAAGGTTTATTCAATGATGATTATAAAGTTAATGTGTGTGTATATAAAACATGGAGGAAATGAGATGCTTCACTTGTTTACTGCAAACTGTCATGCAACGGTGGTGGAAAATTACTGATGTTTGTGCAAGGCTAAATAACAGTTATCAGAAGAAACATTCTGTTCTGTGACTCAATCAACTTCCTCATCAGAAGAACACTCCGTTTTGTAACTCACCCCATGTGTTATGAACTGCTAATAAAAAGGCTCTGCAGAGGAAGTCCGTTAGAGAGTAGAGAGTTGGGTGTAGCTCTCTCCTTCTGCAGAAGCTACTAAAAATATCTTTTCTGTGTGGACTCAGTTCCTCTTTTACAAACCTACATTTTTTAACCTAACATATGCCTCCGCTCCTTCCGCAGATACTCTGCTGCACCTCTAAAAAAAATTGTAGGTGAGCGCAGATACGAAGCCTCCGTTTGGTCAAATCTACATCCGATCTACACTATGTATTTCCTGTTTGGTAACTTACCGACTTCTTGTGTTTGTAGGACTGCCATTGTGGAAAACGACTCGAGAAGATGGACCAGCTAGGAGAGTGAAGCACGTGAGAACCCTGGGACCCTTTTTTCACCTGGATCCCAGTTCTTTTTCTCCCTCATGTCCCTCCGTCGTTGCACAAACTCGCCCCCACTTCCTCACCGCCTCAGCCGTATCTAGACCCACAGCTAGTTCGTGACTGTCCCTCTTGCATCCTGGCGTGGAATAACATAGCGCAGTCCACGCTTCAAAATTGGGCATAAATCAAAAATATCTGCGTCATACTGCTGCAGGAGTATAGCCAGCCCTTAAGGCCTCCGCACATGGGTTTTGAGCGCTAACCACTTCGCTATCGAAGCACGCCCGGGATTTATCCTGTACACAAAATTAACAGTTTTGATCCCTTTCTTTTGAATCACGTTTCCATAAGTATGCACGTGCTAATTCCACATATATTGCTTATTAAGAAGAGTTTATCGCTGCTGCAGGAGCAGCTGAACTCAACAGTGAACAACGACACCACATGCAATCTGTAACCAAATGTTCAAGTCTTTGCCATAACTACTTGTGTCACAGTTATGTTTTATTGTATAGTTTCTTTACAAACTCGTAAATTTACAGGCAGTTGGTACAAGTATGCATATGCAAACTGTTTATTTACGCAATAAAAATACTGATTTTTTTTTTTTACTTTGTTTCCTTTATCATTGTTTTATTGAGTGTGTTAGAGTTTGGCATCCACACTAATTTTGCTACTGATGTTGCCTGGAAATATAATGACTCCAAATAAACTGACTCCATCAGAACTTTTGTTGCCTGTTTTTGTCTCACCAAATGCCTGAGTTCCACCATGACCTTTCCAGCTATCATGAGTAACTACACCTGGGTTCCATCTCCCCGAGGCAGAGCAATCCCAGCTCTAGTTTAATGTTTTTCATTATTGTTGAAATGAACGATCACGTTTGGTAGATAGATATTTGAGAGAAAAAGAAAAGCAATCTAGAAATGAAATTGAAACATATTCTTAATCAGGAAAAGGTTTTGAGAGTAACTTTACTGTTTTCTCTGATTTTTTTCAGGTTTTTTTTGTGTATTATCTTTTCAAATTAAGTTTTAACACAAATAAAAGACTCAAGATCACGTTCTTCCCCTTCAGGGGAAGGCTTTTGTGTGGAGTGAGAACCGAAGACATTATTGATTTGCATGGATCTTAGCACCAACAGAAACCACTGAATCAGAGGAAAACAACATCTATGGTCTAAATTAATTCTTTAATCTAAAATGTAACAGCTTTACCTCAGTCAACTTCATGCTGGGTTTTATTTTGGACACAGTAGCAGCTGTTGCAGATGTTGTTAATTGATCTTCTGCCAGAACGGCTCCACCAGCAGGTCCTAATCAGAAAAAAATAAATAGAAAATCATCTAACTGTTGACAGGAAGATTGGGTGAAAACTTCAGTGTAATCTGAGAAGAAGCAGCAAAGGAAACGATTTAAAAAAAAACTAAGGAAAACTAAATTCAACATAACTGACCTCTGAGTTTAGAAGTAGACAGCAGATCGTTGGCGTTGTCCAGCTCTTTCTCAAGGCCTTGGGTCCTTTCCTTTAACTCGTTCACTGATTTTTCCGACGCACCGTTAATCTCCTGCAGCTTTTCCTCAAGAACCTTGTTGGCTAAAAAATAAATAAAGAGATAGAAAAAAGGAGAAAAGTTCAGAATTACAGCTGGAAACTAAAATTAAGAATACCTAATAACTGCAGCTGGTTTACATGAACATATATTTGTTTGACAATAAAACAGGCTTAAATGAGGCACGCTGACTTTTCAGTTTTTCTGAAAACCTTTTGTAACCTATCCAGGGGTCTGTGTCAGTTCTGTCCGCTGGGACCAGAGCAATCTATAGCTGGAGCAGTGATGATTTTAAGGAGCATGGAGGTCCATCCTCCTAAGACCTACGCATTGTTTTCTTGAGTTGTTAGAGTCTGCTGCTTTGCATTTGGCCATTTGAATCATGACGAGACTACTTAGGTAACTTCCCTGGAATGAATTCCAGGACCAAATTGTAGTTCTTTGGAAGCCTGAAATTCTCCCACTTTGTTCAGTTATGGTTTTCTTCAGTTTTTAGTAACAAAATAATATGTCAGTAGAAACTTAAGCCCCTTTAATAATTCAAGAAAATATCAATTGTTTGGAATAATAAAAAAGAAAAGGCAATCCAAGTATCTGGTTTCCAAACCCCCACTGAAATGACACTAAAAAATGATTTATTCATTGGCTTAAAAACCAATTCTATTTTCTGCCAAAAAAATAAATAAAAAAAAGAAAGGTTCTGCTATAAACATATGTGGCCATGTGGGTACATAAGAAAATCCACAATAAAAATGAAATATCTTTCTCATTTAATAAGTCATTA